AAAAAAAAAAAAAAAAAAAAAAAAAAATTTGTTTTTATGAATCTTTAACTGTTTTATGGTTTTATAAGCAGTTTTTTTTAGATTTCTTACCAATTTATTGTTGTTGCTGTTGTAATTGCTTTATTTTTTTTTTCGACATATGTCACAGCAGAATTGACTTTTCTGCAGTTTTCTTATAGGTAATTTACCTTTTTTTTAACTAAACAATACCAATAAAAAAAAGTTTTGCTCTTTTTTTTCATCTTTTTAGCGCAAAAATACATTTTTATTGGAGTATTTTGAATTGACATACGGTTTAAGTGCATTTAACGTTAACATCACAACTACTACTCTATCAATTTCTAGCACAAAAAAAAACAATTTTACTTTGACCAAATAAGTCAAAAAATAAAGAAAAAAAGTTTCAACTGCTTGATTATTGTTTTCCAAAACTACTACGGCTACAAAAAAGACTTTAAGATGAATACTTTTTCGAAATTCTTCAACAGAAGTCAAAAAAGCTTTTGAAAAATACGAATTTTAAAACTGACAGCAAAAATGGCTGTTTCCAGTAATGCATTCAGTGTGCTCTAAAAAACTACAGAAAGTTACTCAAAATGTTTTCAGATCAATCACTTTTGGAGGTTTTTGTATACCGTACTTCCAAACTTTGGTAACACGACAAAAAAAAATGCGAGATTTTTTAGAAAAGATGAGGAGAAAAAACCTGATGAACAGATCCGTAGTCCAGAATCTGTATTCAGTTGATCAGTAGACTTTTTTGCAGCTTGTTCGAGTTCTAGTACCGCAGTTTTTGGTTATGATGCTTCTTGTCGTTTACGTCTTCAGCGGTTCAGTTATCTTTGTTCTTCTCGACGACAAAATTGCTAATGAAACTTTTACCGAAGTGGTACTTTTCTCGTTTACGACCCTAACCACCATCGGTTTGTGCCTTTTCGCTAAGAAACCTAAAATTTTTTTTCACAGTTTAAAAAAATTTCCTGATTTTATTAATTTTTCTCTTGTTTATTTCACTTTTCTTTATTACTGTAACTCTTATTTATTTATTTATCTACTTTTTTTTTTTTGGTTTAGAATTTTTTGGTGATTTAAGTGTTGCTTGTTCTTTGATTAATGCTTGAATTAATACCACCCATAAAGCAGTAAGGAAAACTCAGTTCCAGTGTCTTCTTTTTGCTTTCTCTTCCCACCCACCGTCATATTGTTTTTCATCAGCGATAGTTAATACCTGACATTTTTAACCAATTTTTTTTTTCAAGAGAGCAGGTACATGACGTGAACAAAGATAATTTGCGTTGGCGAAGGAGGTCAAAATAGCAAAAATAAACCCCAAGAGTATAGCCAGTGAAAAAGTGCAAGTAAAATAAAAACTGGAGAAATAATGTGCATAATGTTCTCGGTTATCTATCTCATACTTTCACCTGTCATCGTAAGCAATGAAACTGTCAAAAAAGAAGCTTATGTCTTGATTGCATTGAAGCAATGCCATCAGCAAGTGTTGACCTCAGCCCTGATTTCTTTCGCATTCATTAAATTCTATTTTTGATCATGAATTTCAAATTGTGCCTGTGTATTCAGAATTTGTAAAATAGACAATTCAGAGCAGCATAGACACCAGAAAAAAACCGTAATTTTTGTTGCTAAAAATCTGTTCATCTAAAAAAAACTTTGATCTGCAACCCTTGTAAAAAATACTGATATAAAATTGTTTAATGAAATACGACTCTATGAAACTGCTACCAGTCCTCAAAGTTGACAGTTCCTTTATTTACCACTCCTGTGCAAATAGCTGCTTAAATTTTCATTTATGCTTTCCGACAATTTTGAAGGCAGAACTGATTTTTCCTTACTCCGATGATAGCACTAACGCTCTTCTTGCAGAACAAGAAAGAAAAAGTTTTCAAATATTCTCTATTCAATTCTTAAAAGTTTATAATTAAAAAAATGCAAGAAAGTGAAAGAAAAAAAATATCTTTTTGGGAGGTATAACTGAGATGAATTAACTGAAGAAGAAATCCTCAACTATAGGCTGACAAGTAGTTAGAGACAAAATAAGCTTTTTCCCTGTCTTTTCAAAGTATACGGAAATCCTACCAGCTGCAGATCTATATTATTAACTACTGGCAGAGCATTTTTGGTTGCAAAATAACAGTTCAATTATAGTTATTACTACTTAAAAGCAAATTTTAATAGAATGCTCTTCAGAACGTCCTACCGATGTCCATGTCTTCCAAAGCTTTCAAAAGTTTGTCTTCTTTTACATAAAATAAACTGTAAAAGAAACATCTAATCTGTTTTGCTTTTCAAAAACTCACTTTTAATGAAACTACCTAAGATAAAATATATAAAATTCAGCGTATCTCAAAAATGATGTCATAGACGATATTCAGAAAATATGAAGAATAATACCCTTTACTAAAACCATTATAGTTTTCTTACTGATCAACTGTTTATTTTTTTAAAATAACTCTAAAGACAGACTCCCAGCTTCCTACATCTCAAAGAAAACGCACTTTTAGGCTTAAGTTCAAGATATTTTTGGCGCTTATAGTCTAACTTTTTAACACTAGATCACCATGTTTCAACGGCAAATCATTTTTTTTAGAAAGGACTATAGCAATTCGTAATCTTAGGCTATGGTAATATCAGCCCGTCGACAAATAGCGCTCAGCTATTCTGTATCGTATTCTCAATTGTTGGCATTCCTTTGGCGCTATTAACGCTGGCAAATCTAGGAAAATATCTTACAAAAATTTACTGGCTGATGTTAGTATGTTTTGGAAAGGTAAAGATCAAGAGTAAATTAAAATTGCGTTCAACTTTAGTTCCTTCTAGAAAAAACAAATTCCGAATGACAAATCCGGTTTAATTGTGCTACAATTTACTATATTGATTATTCTTGGTAGGGACTTTATACATAGATGATTTAATTCTTCAAGTGGCCATTTGTTTAGAATATCAAATGGCGAGCTTGTCAGAATGCCAATATGCCGTTGCCGACAACCACGTCATTACTGTTAATCACGTTTGCTTTTGGTTCCTTTTTCTTTTACGAGAAAGGCAGAGGATTTACTGTTGACGACATCTATTTCAGGTAAGTGAAATAAATTCTACCACTAAGGCTGTAAACGATGCAACAACACAGAATTAAACTTTGGGTTACAATTCGCAGTTGGTATTCCGAGATTTCGAGATATACAGTCCAGTGGCCGAATAAGTTATAAAAATTATCCATTAAAAGTTGTCTTTGACATCGGTATACAAAATATTTTACACTAAATATTAGAAGCAGTAATTTAGTCTCCAGCTTATCATCACAAACCAACAACTTTTCTTTTAGTGTGATCAGTTTCTCAACCGTCGGTTTTGGCGATAGAAAGCCTTCAGCAAATGATTCAACAATGTTAATAGGGATGGTGCTTTATTTGATTTGGGGTATTATACTAATGACAACCTTATTTGCCGGTGTTAGTGGATATCTAAGAACGGTAATAATGCAATTTTCTCTCTTAAACATTTGAAATCAACCAGTTGCAACTGGAGTGATATTCCCTGTAAGCAAGCTAAAAAACCAGTTTAACATCTTGGTAGATACACTACACGGGGCTAGTAAAAAACGATTTTTTAGCGCAAAAAATCTGTGAATAAAAAGACCTTTAAAAGATAGAACAATTTTCACAAAAGCATTTTTTCATTTGTCGGAAGTTTTTGTTATACCATAACTTGTGATGCTAGTTTAACTAAATCAGTCCAGAAGCTGCTAGTACTAGCAACCATTTGGCATTAAGCTTAACATTTACTGAGTACAACAATTCACTTCTAGCTAGATCACTCTAGCACAGTACTGCAAAACATAAGCAAAAAAAGAAAAAAAGCAGTGAATACCAAATTTGGTCAAATACATGTGGTTTAAAATTCAAAAATTTGTAGATTAATTATTATTTCTACGAAAACCTAATCAACCTAATCACAATATCTGAACACTAAAAAATCCACCAAAATATGCTGCACAGTTAATTCAAGCCCCTAACAAACGTATTATTTTTACTTCTACTACTGGCCAGCAAAAAAGATCATTAAACGCTTAGCTCCATCCAGCTATATTTTTCGTATTGAAGAATAGTCCATGCTCTATACATCAAAACAAAATTCAGATTCACCATTTGGGTAAAAGACTACGAGGATCTCGTGACGTACAAGTCTGGTTCGGAGGGAGAAGCATGAAAGTATCTAAACTGTTACAAATTGTCGCGAAAGAATTTAATGTTAGTACCACTAAATATTTCCTTTAAAAATACAAAAAAAGTGCAATACAATCTCCGTATATTGTAATCTAAGCTTGATCTAAATTCTGCCAATTTTTAGTCCAAAGTATCACCAGTACTGTTGACCAAATTAACGTTATACGAGCAATCCCAAACAACTTTACATAACTGTACGCATTTAGGCTTCACCAAGACAGATAAAAGGATTATTACGAGACTTAGATGACCTAATTAAAACTGCTATTGAAGAAAATCAACAAATATCAGCAAAACCTTCAATTCTTCAAATCGCTTCTCAGTATAAATACAAAGGAAGCAGAAAACTGCTGTCCTTACAGGTCGTTAAAATTTTATGTTAAACCTTCGCATTTCAAATTCAAAGCTGCTTACCTTTGCACTAACTAAATGGTATTTAACATTATTTTACTATTGAAATACTACAAATGCTTCAGGAATTCCCTAGACTCGTTAGCAGACGCAAAAAATTGCACAAGTTTTCTATGGTGGAGGACGTCAGGTAAGGTCTTCACCAATGTTCCACCATGAAAATAACAGCCGAAACATTGCTTGACAACACTATTATATGAAGCAGAAATATCCCTTCATCAATTAAATAAAAAAGATTACTGTCTGATTTCAGAGTCCTGAAAGCATTCAAAGATGAGTCAATAACAAAAGCTCCAAGAAAGGACTTGATCGCACTAGGAAAGCGCAGTAATTCAGTCGATATAGGCGAAATCAGTCGCTATAAATGCAACAGAAATGAATTTTGAAATCTGGACCCACTTATGAAGTCTAAAGCTGGCCACAGACAGAATGCAGCTGCGAAAGCAGGACTGTTGACTGCTACACGTCTTCCAAAATTACAAATTCCAACAGCTTAACTGTTTACAAAATAACAGTTGAACTCGAAGAACCGAATGCTTCGTCCTGCCACCGAGACTGTCTACGATCCTATTCATCAACTTCTCAACTTCAGTCAATTTTCCATTATATCATTAAAATAAAAAACAAAGTTATCCTACTGATAAGACGTCAGCACGTAACAGTTTTGACAGGAAAAATCAGTAAAAAAGAAGCATAAAAACAATGGTTCATTATTTTTCAAGTAAACTATCTCAAGCAACTATTTCTAATTCAAAACCTTGCACGAAGAGACTGGTCTAGAGTCCACACCAATTACGGTACATTTATTGAAGTCAAAACACTGCAAAAAACCCACGTTTAAAACAATCGTCTCAAAACAGTAAGATAAAACACGACTTTTAAAAATTAATAAGTCCACGTTTGTCTAAGTAGTTTTCTCCGGTAATGAAATAAATGCCACATTTGGAAAAAAATCCAATAGGCGATGACGTACCTGACACTTGAGCAACCCTAAAAATTAGTTTCTAAATTGATAAAGACGGCAAATTAAGTACTGTGCGCAACTGCCAACTAAACAGTTTTTCTGACGTCTGCTAAAATGTGAAAAAACCTTGTCATTTTCTTTGTTGTAACACATCGACAGTTTCATAAGTTTTATCTCCAAAGTAACATAACGATATTTCTCCAATGAAACTAAACCCTTTGAAAAGTGAAGACTTGAACCGCAACAGTTGAGCAAAAAAGAAACTTGAAAGCAAGAGGAAGAATTATCACATAATACAATAACGTTCACAAAAAAACTACAGATACTTTATCCTTATCAACGTTTCCCTTTTTTTTTTGCTTTACCTTGTTTCGTTATTATGCTCGGTTTTATAGTGGCATGACCGCTTTCATCTAAATGCTGAAATAGTTTAGTTCTGGAACTGAAGGTCTCGCCACACCTGTCACAAACGCCCACTTTCGGACCAGTCTCAAGTGATTTCTGTGTGGGCTCGTTTTTATTCTCCTTACTCTTCGCTTTCTTACCTCCAATATAACTTTATTATCAAAGAGAAAAAAAGATGAATAAAGAAATTTAAAGAACTTACTTTTTCGGCTGGCATCCTCATCAATTTTTAAAACAGTTGGAACAATTTCTGCTCCACCACTCTGCAAATCTGCCGGTGCCGCATCGTTTTTGCTTACTGTTTCCTCAGCGTCAAAAGGTTTTACGCTAGCAGAAGCTCCAACGTCTTTACTACAATAAACACAAAACGAAATAACAATCTGAAGAAAAGAAATCATGCCCAACAAAAATAACATCTAATCAGCGCAGTGATAGTTTCGTCGGTAGGAGAGAGACAACATCTGTTTAAAAGCCTCAAAAACGTTAACTACAACGCCTTGAAAAATAAAAAAAGACTTTACCAACTCCCGCTATCGCTTTCACTAGTGGTATCCAACTCAATTTTCTTTTTTTGCTTCCTTTTTTGCTTTTTCGATCTTTTCGGCCCACTGTCAATTGAATCAATGTTCTCCTCTTTATTTTGAATTTCTAAGCTCTCTTCTAAGAGAAGGAAATCCTCTGCCTGTTAAGAAAAATTATTGCATAAAAGTACTCTAATGCTTTCAGAATAGAAAAACATTCCTTTCAATAAACAGCCAAATTCGAACGGCAGCTTTTCACAAACTGGTATAATAAGTAGTTGTTCACTGTACCTGGAGATGTTTTTTAAGCTCCGCCAAATTCTCCAAATGTTTTTTTGTCCGCTCATGGTTTTTAAACGATTTCCTAAGCATAAACAAATAGTTTACTTCATACTCAAAAATTTCAACACGCACAAAAAAAAGCTTAACGAGGAAGAAACCTACTCCGATTTGAAGGCCTTTTTACATGCAATGCAGTAAGACTTTGAAATATCATATCCGTCCTTAGCTGCTTTTTCCTCAGTCCCTTCAGCTCCAAATTCAGCCTCCAAGGCTTTTTCGATCTCTTCAAGGTCTTCTAAATGACCAAGACGTGTTTCCTCCGCTTCTTTGTGTTTCCCAAAATGCCTTAAAAAAGAATATAACGAAGAAATAACATAGTAAATTATGATAATGATAAAAAATGAAACTGGTTATCCATAAAAAGACTAACTTCAACCACCTCACTGGGTTGTTTTCCAAACTTACAGCATATTCTGCCTAATCATTTCCAATCGATTTTCCTCAGTTTTCTTCTCCTGTTCCAGGCGACGTTCTTCTAACAACTTCCTATGCAACTTCACACGTTTATCACGTTTTCTGATAAAATTAACTAATTCCTAAAAAGATTTTAAAAAATCGCTAAATCAACTTACTATATTACTATGACAATTCTGCGTCCGAATCAACAATTAAATGTTCAGCAAAACCAACCCTGCACTGTTCATTCCTTTCTTTTTTAGCTGCTTCTCTGAGTTTGTTGTTTTCCTTCTTCATTAATTTCAGATGTTTCGCATTTATGGCTGAACGGATATCAAACTTGCTGATCCAGTAATAAGGTCGAGTGGTGCTAAAACTTTGCCAAAAGCCGTAAAACGGTCCCACTACCTATATCAAGAAAAAAAGAGGAATGAGAATGATAAGCTAATAGTACAAGAATAAATATCTCTTGGTAAGCAAATAGAAAGCTGGAAAAACAACACAAACGAAACTCATACAGTTTCATAATCGCTTCCGGAATCTCCGAACCCTGGATACTTCACTTCCGTATCAGTGGCAAATTCATACTCTTCATTTGCAAGTACTTCGAAAACTTGACGGTAGACAGAATAAAAACCCTGAAATAATGTGAACGCCACGTAAAGGTATAATTCAGTATTTTTAAACCCATTCATGATCTGTAGCGCTCTTGCAAGTAAAAATTATATGACTGTCTCCACCACCTACTGTCCGATCACCCAGTACAAAGTAGACCACTCATAAACAGCACAAAGATTCATTACCTAAGCCGAAATATAGTTGCTCTCTTAAAAAACTTGCTGCTCAAATTTCTTGACAATCCAAATAATAAAATCAATATTCAAGCCTTTTCTACGCCAATAAGAACTTATTTTTGAAAATAAGATATAAAAAGTTTAGAAAAGAAATCTCTTTTCTCAACCTATAGCCCGAAACTTCTGCAGCTTTCTAGATATTAATAAATTCCTACATACTTTCTTGTGCTGCTTTACACTAAGAAAACTTCTTTTTGCACCCTTACATCCTAGAAGAATTGAATTTGAAAAGTAAAAAACGACCAAGCATTCCCCAGTCGCTGCAAACACCTGTACGAAGACTGATAAAAGCCTTGTCCACCATGAAACATCAGGTTTTGCACGCTACAGTGTTCACAAAAGCAACTAATATTTAGCCAACTTAACTGATCAAGAAAATTTTTCCAAAGAACTGAAAGACAATAATATAATTTAAACACCTTATCATCATCACCATAGCCTTCATAGCAGCTGGCATCAAAAAAAGGAGATAGGTTCAAAGTGTTTTCGTTGTACTTCTCTTCCATACCTAAACATGGACTGTGCACAGGTCTTTCAGCAGGAATTTCAGAGAGGAAACGTTAATGAACAATCCTAAACTTCAACAACAGAAATGCAAGCGGCTACCAAAAAACTAATAAGGAGAATTGAATGCGGTTAACCGATTATTTAGAATCTGTATACTAACATTGACCTGTATCACCAAATCTTACTTCCCAATAAAATTTCTTCCCTATTCCGATCATACCAAGCTTTTTCATGAGGGTCACTAAGGACGTCATATGCTTGTTGCACCAACGAAAAGTACCTAAAATGTTCAATAATTCTAGTCCTGTTACAAATCATCTATTTTAATCCTCTGAATCTACGGTTGAAGCATTATTACATTCATTATTATTATTTACAATGATAATAACAGTAACAGAAATAATAATGGCAACAGTAACAGTATAAGTAATAATTATAGTAATTAAACGAATTAAAAATAACTTTGTGCACTCCTCTAAATTGTCTGGATTTTTATCTGGATGCCACTTTAAAGCAAGTTTCCTATAGGCTTTTTTGATAGTCTCATCGTCGGCATCACGACTTACTTCGAGAACCTCGTAATGACACTTCATAGTTGAGGTGGAAACCTAAAATTAAAGTACCGCATGATCAGAAGAAGGACAGTAACAGACAAGGCAAAAAACATTAAAAGGTGTAAGCAGATAAACAGGTTGCACAGTGTCCAACCAAAAGCTGCAAAAAGCGTAGCAATTCTTTCAAGAAAACAAAAAAAAGTTTCAATTACCGGCTTTAAGCTTAAAAAAGCAATTAAACAACCAGTATTTACTAGAACCCAAAACAAAAAATAAAATAAAATAAAATAAAAATAAATAACAATAAGTAATTCGCTACAGATATTTATATCCAGTTCCGACAAATGTTTCCCTAAATTTCAAACAAGATTTACAAACCCACTTACTCACAGAACTATTAACGCTTACTAAGTGCACCAGTGAATATCCTCTGCGTTAAAATTTTAAGACTGAAATTGTTAAGAAGTGGTTCATTTTATTTGTAATTTAAAATCATAACAGATGCTTCATAATCTTCTGAAGTTGAAACACCAAGAACTCTGACCGTTCTTTCCCATTCAAACGATTGCTCAATTTATCACAAAATGTCGCAATATTCAATCATCACAGTGAATTTTAACTCCAAAATGATAGCATGCTTAACATCGCCCGTGTATTTATTTTGAGGATTCAGTTTTGCATCTATATATTTTTCTGGTTTGAAAAAAAAACCGAAAATTTTTTTAGTTCTTGGCAAAGTTCCACCATAAATAGGATCTCGAATTTGTTACCCTCATCGTGTTCGAGAGTTCTGAAACATCCAACAGCTTTGTTGGCAATTTATTAACAAGGTCTTTTAATAGATGATAGCTATGCGAGATGCCAGTTACTTCTTCCCCTTTTTTGCTTTTTTTCATAATAGGCCTATGTCTACGCCGTTTATTTGAATCACTGTTGCGAATAACCGATAACCTGCTTAAATTGGACAGTAATTACTGATAAAAACTCTTTTAGTGTATTCTGAAAAACCTCTTTTCTTGTACAGCTTCCACTGTAGGCAACAATTACCTCTTGCAACTTATACTGTCATCTACACTCTACTAGGGCTGTATCATTACGACTTAAGCTTCGTGTAACCTTTAACCTCTAAGGGACCGCCTGCTCTAGTTCGACGATGACTAATTCTAATTAGGAGAACTTGCTGCCAATGATGATTGCCATGCCAAACTCAAATACAACCTTAAGAAACGACGTATGATGTATAAGGTAATTTGTTTACCGACTACTTTATTTTTCGAAGCATTAACGACAGTTTCCCTCCCTTTAAAATTACAACTGAGAAGTCCAGTTGGAATGCTCTTGCTTCCCTACACAGCTCCAAGCAAAGATAAACAATTCAAGAATAATTCAAACCAAGCAAAATTATTATGGAATATAAAATTGATAAAATTACGACAAAATTTGACAAAGACAATAACTTAGACTTGAAGTGGAAACCTAAATCTACCTGTATAGGTGCCGCTTATAGAAAATGCTGGAACGGACCCAAAATAGATGAAGCCACTGGAATTGTTTCGGACTTGACATCCGTATGCAGATTCTGACCGTAGCGCCTTGACTGATTCTACGTTTAAGCTTCAGGAGCTTCCGCTTGAGAACAATTGAAGATCGTAGCATTTGAACTTTGACTGCGGCTTCGTGTACGGTTGTGAAACTCAGGAAACCAAAGGTGCGCTACACAAAAGTAATATTTTGATTATCGGCTGTGAAGCCTATACTGGATTAAGTGAAGATGGAAAGGAGATCGATGTGAAAAAGAAATAATTCTCAAATACAATAAACCGAATAAAATGTAGTTGGTATTGAAAATATTCAAGATCACTTATCATACACCTTGTTTCCACCTTGTTTCCACTATCTCCAGCTTTGTTTGACCTTATTTCTCCTACACAAAAACATTTTGTTTTTGTTGCTGTTCTTTGTCTGTCTCACTTGGAATCTTTTTGCATTAAAAGTAGAATTGAAATCAAGTTAAAAATGAGGCAGAAAAGTACTTTTTGGCACTAACCACAACGGTGGTGGAAAAAAGATAAGAAGTAAGGAGAATAAAATATGAAATTCTAACTTCTTTTTAGACGACAATGCAAAAAAGTGAATTGAAGAAAGAATTAAGACCATGAGATCACAAGTGAGATATAAAACCATTAAAACAGTAAACCCACCTTATGTTTACTCTCGCCTTCATTGTATTTGCTCTAGTTGACCAAAAAGTACATTTTACTTTCCCCATCCCATATATTGCCAGTATAATGAGTAGCTCTCCATGAACCTCAATCCTCCCTTCAAAGAAATATTTGTTTGTAAAAATCACGTCTAACAAATTCCAAAAGAGGAGTAATATGTGGACATATTAAAATCCACCCCAAAAGCAATAATATTTGAAGAAAAAAAATAACATTCACCCATGTAAAATATGAAAAAAAGTTCTGGTCTGAGCAGGCTCACAAAGTTTCATCGTTCAAAAACTTATCGGAAACCCTCACTCAACTCGTAAAGGAAAGCCGAGTAACTAATACGTCCAGAGAAATTTCATGGTTAATGAAAAAGAATTTTAACCCGAGTGCTGAACTACAGTGTCATAAATTCCAAACCTCTGAGTTCTAGGCGAATGTCAATCTCTTAATTCGGAACACTTAATTGTGAGTTCGTGTATGGCTATAAACGAACTGAAACTTGGATTTTATTAGACAGTAATCAGTGAGGAAAGATACTTGATAATAGAACGATAATATAACCTCACAATTCCTGGAAATATATATCTAGATAAAGAATGCAGTTGATACTTCACACAACAGTAACATATACCGAATATTAACAGTCTAACTCGTGAAATTTTACCGCCGATTTTAACTGTAAACGATAGTTCTTCTTCTACGATACAAGAGTGTTACCTTTTATGTTACCTTCCTCCACGGGAAGCCTCTGAGACTCTTAAACTTATCAGCCACTTTTTGTAAACAGACAACTAGTCCCGGAATGTACGATACCAACCAGTGATTCTTGAAACTATAATACTTGATAACTCCCTGCAAGCCCTTCGGATAACGGTCGACCGACCAAGACCCTAACTTAGTTATTCTTCATTATTTTTAAACTCATTAATTACCACACTTGTACACAACTATTTTTATGAGAAGCGCTTCATTCTGTCAATCAATCAATTATTACAATATGATTTGGGAAAATTACAACAACAACAAAAAAAATGCTCACAGTGGAATAATAAGAAGAAACCAAATCGAGCCATATAAGCAAAATACAATTGAGGAACTAGAAGTAGTCGACTCAGAACTTCAGTGCAAAACGAATCAGAACCGCCTAATGGGAAAGTTTAACAGCAGAATGGCACTCAAAAAAAATTTCAGAAATTACTGCTAAGGATCAAAGCTCCAGATAAATTTGACTCACTTAATAAAAAGCAGAGATGAACTTTAAGTATGAGCCGCCTTTGCCAAAGCGACCATTCGTTCCCGGTCAAAGGTGGATTAGGCAGCATTGTTTGCAAACCTTCAGTTGTAATTCTGTGCACAGTTGTGAAGCAAAAAAGTTTCAGTAAAACTAAAACTTCAGAAAAAACCTCAAAAAACCTCAAGTTTTTGCAGTGAAATCTTCATTCGTCAGACTACTTTTAAGAACGCAACGAGTTTATTTTCACTGATTCCTCAACAGTAACTTTTAATAATTTCCCTGTAATACAGTGACCACTCTTAAACAAACAAAAAATGTTTAGAACAAAAACGGTAGTCACAGAAAGAAGCCAATTTGGGTAGTAGCCTTTCTGGTTTTGGCGCAAAAGTTAAAAGGTGGACAATGAAGATGAGACTAAAGTTTCACAAGTAAAATTTTACCGTTTACATTCATTCTACTGTTCGTATTTTACTTCTCGTGAAGGTGAAAACTGAGGCTGCAGCAGCGGCACGTCTTTTCTATCTTTCAGTGAATTAAACACTAAATAATTTAACATTATACAGCTAAAACATTTTAGGAGAGTGGCTTAACGTGAATAGATATTTTTATTTTTGAGAAAAACTTCGGGAGCATTGTTGGATTATGGCTGCAATGAATCAGTAAATTTGAGTTTCATTAAAAATTTTTTTACTACGTTTTGATTTCAGGATTAGCTTGATATGGATGATAAGTGTTTTTGCCCGTAATACGAAAAAGGCGTTAATTTGAACTCTGTCTGTTGTTGGCGTTGTAGTCAATTCTGTTAGGAAGTTTCATTAATTAATAACTTTCAGTATCAAAGAACCGTTCATCAGCACCAGGGGTTTTATAAGCCTTCTTTTAGTTTTGCATATCAGTGTCTGAGAAAAAGGCTGGGTTATATAAAATTCTTTTATGGTTGAGGAATATTGAGCAACTCGAAAGAGTAACTCTAGATTTTAAAAAACAGGCGAACCCTTACTTAATCGTGTTGAAAATAAGCACAGAAGACTATTGACACAAACAGAAATTTTTTCCTGCTGTCGTTTAAGCTAAAATTATTGGCGTGTTCAATCTCACAAATAACTTAGAAGCCGGTACTTTCAACTTGTAGTTTTAACCAAAAAATTTTCATGACCTCCAAAAATATAGGACTGTGCAATTTTCACAGTGTCTAACCGGCCCTACGGCACCAAAAAATGCACAGACTAGAGTTATGTAAATGGAAGCTTTCAAAACCAGCTCACATATCACACAAAAAAGTGGATGGTTTGTAAGTCATCTTATAACTCCATAAAAGGCATTCTTATTATCAAAAGAAAAAAATAAGCACAAAACGCCTTAGATGTATTACTAACAGAAAGAAATGCAAAAAAAAACTTCAGCAGAAGAGTAGCTTTCACGAATTTGACTTTGTCATAGAAAGTAATATGCAAGAAAGTAAGGTGCTAACCCAACCTTTGTGCTGCAGCCGGTCGTAGATATTGCAGAATCAAAATTACCTTTGTATAGCTTGTCCTAATAGCTATTCGGAGCCCACTTAAAAGATATCGTCGGTAGATAACTAGTAATAC